GTCTGACCTCTGTGATTGCCAACAAAGGTTTTGCCACCAAGTACTAAAGCACGTTTTGCAAAGGGATCAAATACTTATTTCATTCATGAAAATGCAAATTACTTTATAACTTTTTTTGTAATGGATTTTTTTGTTATTGTTGTGTCTCTCACTGTTCACATAAACCAACCACTGACATCGTAGACTGATCATTTCTTTGTTAGTGGGCAAACTTACAAAATCAGATGGGGTTCAAATAATTTTTTTCCCTGACTGTATCTACAATCCCAAGACTTAGCTAGCACGTTGTGTTTGTAGAGGCTAATAAATGGACGTTAAAGGTAAAGCTAGGTGGTAGGTATTAGTAGGAATGTGTGGCAGATGTTTAACTTAAGGTAAACTGATGGTGGTGGGGTTGTACTTGTACTTGATTCGACTTTGGTGTATATATTTTTAAATACCTGGACATGAAGTCCTTTGCACTTCTTTGCCATTTTGTTTTTTTGTTTGTTTGTTTTTTCTCTTTATTTTCTGAGCCCTTGACTTTAATGACTGGCTGTTTGTCAAGTTTACTGAATGTGTGAACACCAGCGATGGAGGAGGTCTCATCTGCTGACAGTCCAAAGTGGTGGCTGCCAGGACGAAGAGGGTGACGAAGAGTAGGACAAAGAAAGAGCAAAACAAGGGTTAAAAGCAGCCAGATGTTTATTTTGGTAACATTAGTGACCTGGCATGGCCGTGATTTTTCCTCTGTAAATGCTGTATTTCTGTAATGTGAAATAATATGACTTTAATTTGTGAGTAATTTGAGCTTTGTGTAACGTTAGTGCTATGTGTCACATTAGCAGTAACCAGAGCATTCTACTGGACTGACAAATGTACTCAGCAGTCAGCTAACACTAGCTTTGGACAGAAGGCTGCATTTTGTATAGTTTGTCGCAACCAGGCATCTATATTTTATGTCGTCACTAGGAAACTGGACGTGATGGGGGGGTCAAAGAGCAGTTTGGAATGGCTTATTGTGTCAGTTTATTCTGAGTGTCACTAGCCTTTTAGGTTGAAAAGAAATTAGAGCACCTTTAATAATGGTTCTATGTGTTGCAGTATGAGCAGTTTAAGTGAATTTAACATAAAATCAAATGGCACCTGCTAGTTTTGATACCACATCCAACAGCATGCATACCAACGCTCCCAAATCCCCTGAAAACACCCAAATTGTCTTATCCTTCCTACAGAGAGGCAGCCCGTGAATGCCGCAGGAAGAAGAAGGAGTATGTAAAATGTCTGGAGAACAGAGTTGCTGTGCTGGAGAACCAAAACAAGACACTAATTGAAGAACTTAAAGCCCTTAAAGACCTTTACTGCCATAAATCTGAGTAGTTCCAGTCTTGAACACCGAGCCTGGGCCAAGTAGCATTTCAGTTTCTTTCAAATACTTTGACTGTTTGACTTTGCCCGCCTGGCCTTCCAGTTTACACACAGCTGGCTCTTTTTGACGATGTCACCCTAAACTCCATTCTCTTCAATAGGCTTTCAGTATAATAATTTAAAATAATCACATTTATTTGGACAAGTACACAGAGAACGCAGTGTAATCTTGATTGACGATAGGTGGCAAATGCAAAACGAAATGGTAGCTACAACATTGTCGAAAGGATAAAATCAGCTGAGCTGTTGCTCTGTGGACCTGCTTGTCCTATAGTCCTAATTTTGGCAGTTATCCATTTAAGTTGACATAGTTTTGTAGTCATCACAGTCATTAAAGAGATGCTTCACTGGAAGACATTTGAAAAGAGTGCAGTGATGCTAAGGAAGTACTGTCCTTGGTTTATTTTGACCACTTGACCTCTTTTTGTTGTTCTAGCAAACAAAATGGTGAACTTCCAGGCCAACCAGCTCGTTCAGTTGGTTCATAATTACTTAAACCTTAAGTTTTTTTTGTTGCATTAACATTTACCTGTTTATTTAAACAGTTTAAAAGAGATGTTATTGAAACTGAAACATAGTGATTACTACTTTATGTAAACAGTAATGCCCAGCGTGTTCTTTGCAGCATCGTCATGGTTAACTGCAGCTTAACCTACCTTGTAGTCTGATTTACAGCAAACATTGAACCGTGGACCAGAATTATGTTCTGTTTTGCAGTTAATATGAATTTAATTTAAGAATTTAATACTCTGAAGTTGGGCTACATTTTACAGTATGTTCAGGACATACTTCATCCTAATTTACAGTACAGCTAAGACTTGGACATTAATATGGGGCTGTACCCGACTAAGAATATGTCAGTCGGCTGTTCAGTGCAACTATTGATTCTTTAAAAAGCAAATTGTCAGAAAGTCATTAACATTGGTAATCAAATGCAAAAGAGTGACAGGAACATATTTCTGACCATTTAAAGATCAATAAAAAACTGCTGCATATGATGCGAGATTTAAATTGCCACCTATTTAAACTGAAGTTATATAATGTGGGGCCACCATATGGATTTGCTGGAATAACAAGGCAGACAGCACACTTGAATTTCTGTTGAAACGATGCTCTTATATGCCGTTTTTGTCTTCTGAGACATGGTTACAGTCGTAATTTACCAGCAAGTTTGAGCTTCTCTCATCAGTTAACAGCATATGTTGTTACGTTTGATGTGCGCCGATGTGCACTACTTAAGAATATATATTTATGCTTCCTCTAGTTTACAGTTCCTCATTGAAATGTTTTCCTGGTGCATTTTTGTTAGATTCCTAGTCCTGTTTGGATGGATTAACGTCGCAGAAACAGTCAGCCAGCCGCTGTGCGTTAAAGTACAAATCTCACCACATATGTCTTGTCCTAGTGGATTTTGTTGTCTTGTTCTCCTCATTCTGTGCAGCATTTTGCTAGATAGTGTCATCAGACATACTGTATATATACATATATAAATATACATTCATGCAACAGGCAGTGTCACTGTTGGAGTGGGCACTCCCCCCGACCACAGGGGGGGCATTGAGCAAAATGCTGCTTGGCACACAAAAAGGAGAAGATGACAACAAACTACTGGGCTGGACTTCAGTTCTATTTTTGGATCAGGCAAGCTCAGTCAGTTGCAGTTAAAGGCTTTGAATGAGCTGCATATCTCTACTTGATCCACATCCTGATGTGAACCTACTTTTCAACAATATGGCCACATATACACTATGGGGGACTCATGCAACTAATTGGGCACAAACAAGTCATTTTTTTTAAAAGTGGTTTTAAAGATGCTACCAACTGCCTATTACGAAGGAAGTGGAACTGTGTATGTCATCAGTGGACTGCCACAGTCGTGTCTGTTGAAAATGGATGTATTGTCGTTTGACGGATTGTTTTTCTGCCACTCAACATCAGGTAGCTGACAGAACTGCTGTTAAAATATGATAATTGCCAGGCTGGGCACAGTTTTAAAGAAAGATTGTTGTTTTTATGACCTAAATTCTCATTTTTTATAGTTTTGGCCATCTATGCTATTTGTTAGGTAGAGTCAGGCATCGACGTTAGGGGTCATTTTATCTAAATCAAATTATTTGGCAGTGAAAACAAACCTGAATATTAAAACTGAATGGTAGGAACAGAAATCAAAAGAAAACTTTGGAAGATTAGTTAGTGATTCAGCTTTTACTGTCTGTACTTAAGTAGTTTTTCAAGGCAAAATACAATTTTAACGTTCATTCGGGTGTGTTAATGGTTTAGACAACTGGGGGCTTGTTTACCATACAGTATCCCTAGATATCAGCAGTTCACTGGGTGAGTACATTCTTGTTTTGTAACAGATGAGACTGAACTCTAAAAGGACAGAAACAAGATTTAGGTTGTACAAAAATGCACATTTGATCAAATCTAATACCAGAGATCTAGATGTTTTCCATGTTCGACTAATGTTAAATTTGAGGTCAAGCATCATTTTGTTGTGCCACACTAAACTGTCCGTTTGTCATCAAACACTGGCCATGATCAAGGTTATCTATTTTCCATGACATTTCATTTTTCACTGTTTTACAGTATTGTTTGTTTTGCAGTATCTGTTAAATGGTGGTAAGATATGGACAGTGACTACATATGAGAATGCACAGCTGTTATTGGATTATGTAGCAGATTGGATTCTTTGTGAAAAGGAGGTACGGGCTACAGCAACTTGAGTTGAACTTCAATAATCTGTGGAGATGTATGTTGAAAATAATTCACCTGTGGTTTTTGAGAAGATACATGTACTTATTTGTGGGTTTATTTTTTTATATTACTGTACATAGACTCTACAGCATGTGTAGACCTCATATTTCAGTTTATTTGATATGAAAAATGTTCTTATGGCTTGTATGAAACCAGTTTTTCACATTTGTAACATATATCAGTGTATTATAGAAGACGATGTATGTGTGTATTCATGTAACCCACCAGGCCTACCACCGTCATGGCAGCTAAGTGTATGAGAAAAGGCCTTTGCTGGAGAGCTTTTATTTTGGAGTGCTGTACTCTGTTTAGGACCGACAGCGTTTTTTTAGTAGAGAAGAGCAAGTCTTTTGTGAGCACTTGAGGTCCACAATTAGTGTCATAACAGTTCTGTTTAGTCCACAACTGCACAGCAGAGCACCAGGTGACATCTAACTCAGCCACACCCTTGTTTTTACCTGTAGATCTGTCTCGTTCATCTAAGCATTTATCTTCCAGTTCATCACATGAAAGCACAAATTTCCTTTCTATGGATCATTATGTGTTTATTTTATTGTATTTAACTGCATTTATTTTACTACAAAGCTACATTAAAGTTATTATTTCTTACTGACAATCGTTCTAGTGGTAACTTAACCAGTCCCCACTCACATTTCAACTGGAAACTAACCTGAGAGTCTTCTGTAAATACAAACCTCATATTTTTGCTGTGATTTTGTTATGGAAACCCCTAAATCTCTAAAGTTGGAGTTTTATAACTTCCATTTCTGAGCAGCATTAACGTTCATTCTTGATGTGGGCCACAGTAGGTTCACGCAATCAGCTAAACTCCAGGACATTGCATGACAATGAATGGAACTTGATAACAGGTGGTCTTTAGTTTGTTTGGTTGAAAGCTCTGGAAACTAGTAAGTGGACCATGAGTTAGCACAAGTTGATGTGTGTGTCACACATAAGTTTGAAAACTTTAATCATGGGCTGAGAGGAAATTTAGAGGCATTAGCGGTGGCTTGCTACGGTACAGACAATCAGTTTGTTCTTTAAAATACTTTTTTCTTTTGTATTCATTTAAAAAAATCACCCATTCATGGTAGCTCTGTCAGTTTTATTTTTCTAGTTTAAAACATTTTGATATTGTACAGTATACAGTATGTCATTGTATAGAGGATTTAAGGGTTGAAGCAGCTAAAGAAATCACACAGCACCTCATGCTTGAAGTAATTCAGGAGGCTTTGAATGAATCATCTCCTATTGACCAGACAACAGGCAAGGTCAGTTTATTTATTTATTTTTGTACACAAAGGCCATTTATAGTGCTTAACACAAACAGATACAACCATTAGAGTGCATATAGAGATAAAACAGATGGAAGTTAGGTTAAAACACTTACAGGACTCCACAAAGTACCAACATGCAACTGTTGGGTCTGTACGTTTAAGGTAGTTTTGTCAGACTGGATTCTCACAGTTCTCAATATATTTCATAATCAACATGTACTGTAGCTGTGCATGTAATCCCTGTTTCATCTTCCTTTTACTTTTCATAATGTGGTTTAGAGAAATCCATATAGAGATTCAACAAAAGGCAGAAGTAATCTTTTTAAATGTATTTCATGAAAGTCTGACAAACCACACCTTTGGCCTCTCTGCTTGTAAAACTTACTTTACAGGAGAGGAAACACTTTTAATACCAGTGCCATTGCAATACTGAGATGAAACATTTTTAAGTGTGTTCTGAAAAAGAATTTCGCACTGTTGTAATTCACAAATCCATTACTGGTGCTGAAAAAACTTTTGTAATCTCTTTCTGTTGATTTGATATAGTGAGCTCAACTTTGTGATGTGATTACACAATATGCTTCCAATAATACCAACAGTGTTTTCATTTTCTGTGCCTGAATAGTTTATATCTATCAGCCTCATTGTGCATGAAACAGATTGATATGTGTGTAAAAGTGTGTATATATATATATATATATACTGAAAGTGACAACAGGTGCACCGGAGAGGCAAAAGCAAGACAACCCCCAAAAAGGGGAATGGTTTTGCATGTGGTAGCCACAGACAAATGCTCGCTCCTTATCCTTCCTGACTGATTCTTCTCAGGTTTTGTGTTTTGGTTGTGTCCTTGTCACTACTGGTAGCATGAGGCAGTACCTGCAGCCCAATCAGGTTGCACAGACATCCAGTTACAAGGTTTGCTGTGTCTCCCAGCACAGTCTCAAGAGCATGGAGGAAACACCAGGAGAGCTGGGCAGGGCCGTAGAAGGAAACAACCCAGCAGCAGGATCGGTATCTGCTCCTTTGGGTAAGGAGGAACAGAAGGAGCACTGCGAGAGCCCTAAAAAATGGCCTCCAGCAGCTATTGGTGTGCATGTTTCTGACTAAACTGTCTCCATGAAGGTGGCATGAGGGCCTGATGTCCTCTAGTACAACCTGTGCTCACAGCCCAGCACCATGCAGCTCAACTGGCATTTACCAGTGAAACCAGAATTGGCAGGTCCGCCATTGGTGCCCTGTTCTCTTCACAGATGAGAGCAGGTTCCCTCTGTGCACGAGACAGGTGTGGAGACACTGTGGTGAACGTTATGCCTGCCTGTAAAATCATGACCAGTTTGGTATCTACATTAGTAAACGTTTCAACTTGAATAATTCGTTCAAGATCTGATGTGTGACTTAAGTGTTCCCTTCATTTTTTTTAAAGCAGTGTATATAGAATTTCTAGAATATTGACATTTTTCTAACTTTTAATGTGATCAGTTTATATATTGCCACTTTTACAAGTTTTCAATTTAAAATGCCATGTATTGTATAGTATCTTGTAGAGATGGTCACCAAATGTTACATACTGTCTGTTTCAACACGTTCACCTTAAGAAGCTACCAGCCGTTATTTGAAAGTGCTGTTAATCTGACATTGCATCACTCTTTTGGAAATACTTGCTTTGTTGCAATAAAGTTCTCTTGAAAATTGTAATTTATTGTTAATCGTGAATATTTCATTCATGACACATTGAATTAAGGATTACTTTTAGAATTAAGTAAATTAAGTTTCTTGGAGAAGAAGTTTTCCAGTTGCTCTGTATTTTATGGTTGCATGGTATTTACAATTCTACTGGGCAAAATTTTTGCATAAAAACATTAACAAGCGTTAACCTGATAGTTTTGCTGGTATTAAACAACTACGGCTCCCATGATGTTTTTATTGTTCCTAATTTCTATGCAAACTATACATGTCAAACAAATGTATTCTAGTAAAAAGTCCAGTATTATCCCTTTGAAATGGCAGAAAACAAAAACTGAAGTGCCTCAGAAGCACATGAGCTAATGTACTTGCTAATATGCTAACAGCTACTCCAAAATACACTTTGGTTTATATGAACCATTTCCCAGTCTTTGACATTAAGTATCTCCTTTTGTAAATATGTAAACATCTGCAACAGATGAGTAATGTCAGCTACATGTTTTCAAGCATATTTTGAAATATTTCACAAGCAAGGACATTAAAAGTGATTATAATATCCCCTTTCTCAGCACAGCTCACAGTTCATGAATGAGAGGTGCATTGATCGACAGGTATGTGATGCAATAGAGAATTGGCTTCATTTTTCACAGTCAAAAAAGGGTGTGGATCGGTGACGGTACAAAAATAGTAGCGTTGTGTAAATACATTTCATCGGTTTAAGTCGTCTCCAACAGACAGCTCCTTCAGCCAATGAGAATCGCTTATTTTGATTTCACAGCCAATAGGAGTCAAAAGAATTCCTACATGGGCGAGTAACGCCGCTGTGAGATTCTGCAACAGATGACGGCGGCGACTACATAAATCAGGAATATTACGGTGTGTAGGCACAGATGAAGGAGTTCAGGCTAGCTAAGGGAGTCGGTTGTCTAACGGGGAAGCAGGAGACGTTTTAGGCCTTTTGACCTAATTGAGAATTTTTTATCCGAAGTCTTGGAATTTTCTCTTTACCCTTTATTTGTACAGAAGGCCGCAGAAGCCTCGGGCTGAATTTGGCGACAGACTGAACTGAGTGAAAGCACACATCTGTGGAATTATTTGAAAAGTCTCATAAAATGTTGTTGCTAGAATTTGGCGACTGGACGTCGTAACACAATTATTTGACACTGTCAATCGCGTCTTCACGATAGCAAGAAGTGGAATTAATGTGGAGTACAAAGATGCTGAAGAGACATGATAACTAGCCTGCTAGCTAGCGCGCTACGATGCTAATTAGCTGCCCAGCAGCGAAACTCATGCGAGTTGAACGAATGAATTGCCGACCACCAGCATTTAACAAACTGTTCTCTGTTTTTGCCACAACACATCGAATGTTATACAAGACCGCACTGACGAACCCTTTGTGGCGAACTCTTCTTTGACTGTTAAACTGCAGACCCACAAATGGACAGGAATGCGATTCCTGGGAGTTGGACAGCGCCGATTTAGCACACAAGATATTGTCATGCTAATATAGACTATAGTTTTGTGATGTTTGTAAAGCTTGGGGAAGCCAAGTTCAGCTAGCTACAAATATTTGCACTACGTAGACTTTGCTGCAGTAGTGTGGTGCTTCCACTCGGCTTGGAATGGGGAATACGGTGTCCTGCTGCGTCTCTCCCGAGTCGAGCCCCAAACTACCTTCGAGACTACCGGCAGAGCGGCTGGAGGAGTTCCAGACCAGCACCGAAGTGAGCGATGATAACACCGTGCCCTACCTGCAGCATATAAGCGATAGAGAGATCCCTGATGGTAAGTGTCTGTGTTATACCCGGAACATTTGTGTTTGGTAAATTTCATAAACTTGAATTCACTTTCTTGTGTTTGATTCCATGAAGCATCACATCTATATTGTGTCTTTTAGAGACGTTCATCTTAATGCAGTCAGTGACATAGTGAACAAGGAACTGATGTGACCCCCTCACATATCTCACACGGGTCAGTCTGTAGTGTAACCGTGCACAACAGTTTTATATAGCTACTTTCTTGCACAGCTGCAGGGAAAATGCACCAACGCCCTCTTTGGCTATTGCCAAGTTGCCAGACTTGTTTATTGCTGGTGATGATGGCACTCTTGGCATTTTAGATGGCTACTGCGTTATATTGATCGCACTGGCATCATATTACAAAGTTAGACATTATCAATAAAAACAAGCCCCTCATCTTCTTACAGCCACAACCGCTGAGAACACGGCAGTAAAAAAAAGCACTTCATCACTGCTGTCAATTCTTTTTAACATCCTGTTTTATTTTTAATGGCTTAATAGGGAATGGGAGGGAAATGGAGTAAAAATGGAGATGGACTATACCTTAATCAGAACAAACATGATTTTATTAAACAAGCCTGTGTACCTGCCAATTGCATCTTGTCTTGTGCAGCTCACTGACATTAGCATCGCAGTGCCCGATGTGACAGAATCAGAGACTGACTTACAGCCCTCCTGTCCAAAAGTGTTTATTTGCCCATGCTGTGATACAGGCCCCTAATCAGGAAAGCATCTGAGAGATTTCCCAGTGATGTCAGCCTGAGCTCAGTTTCCTGCCATCAGCCCTCATGTCCCCACTCCTCACTGGTTTCCAGATGTACACAGTGTTCATTCCATTCATGTTACTGTGGGTTGGAGTGTGTGAGAGCAGCTGTTGGCAGGATCAGGGTCAGAATTAGTCCAGCTGTCCTACTGACATTCCTCTTGTCTTCTTGCTGTCCTCACATCACAAATTCTGCCATCACTTAATCCTGTCTTATGTAATGTGCAGTCTGCACATTACATTACGTCTGTGTACATCTGGAAACCAGCATGGGCAAATAAACACTTTTGGACAGGAGGGCTGTAAGTCGATCTCTGATTCTGTCCTTCTTGTTTTGGGGGCTATTTGTTATGACATTGGTTTACGCATAAATACAGTCATTCCTCATTACTTCTTCATCTTGAATAATGGCAAATATACTGCATGCTTTTGCCAGGGTGCTCGTCTCAGCAAATGGCTCATTTCCAGTCCCACATAAAGTACTGTTGTCTCTGCATAACGTGTTTACTTTCACTTTTTGTTTTGGCAGAGTTGGCCTTGGAATCTAACCCATCAGACCATGCCCGAGCGAGCACCATCTTCCTTAGCAAGTCCCAGACAGATGGTGAGCAATCCTAACATCACACACAGAGCAGTGATTGGCATTAACCGTCCACCCCAAAATCCTTAGAAGAGTTAACACGCATCTGAAACACGTGATTTGGTGTTAAATATTAAGGCGGATATGCTTTCAGGGGTTGAAGTGTTAATCCAGTATCATGTTTTAATGTTTAAGTTTGTTGTCTAATTGTAATCATCAGTTCTTTTTTAAATTATCAGTCCTGGCAATGTTGTTAAAATGTTTATTACTTCACTGTGGAGTTTGAAGTTGGAAGTGCATGACACACCCACAGACATATCATTGCTAAGTGAATAATGGGTCCTTTATACCCGGATCGTTACAGAAGTCTTAAATTGACTGCACATAAATGATCAGAGCATTTTAGCTCTATTACCACGTTTCATACTGACCTCTTTTCAAGTCGTATATACTGAACACTGATTGCTGTTTCTAGACAGACTCTTTTTGAACAGTTCTCTTCCTTTACAGTACGAGACAAGAGGAAAAGCAACCACATAAATCATATCAGCCATGTAAGTGTCAAAATCCAAATGTTGATCATAAATCTGTTTGTTCAATTGCTTACATGTGCTGTATTGTCTTTACCGACCAGAAGGTGAGTTTACACCATAGATTGGCCAATGCAGATTTTTCAAGACAGTTCTGTAAATTAATTGATGCTTCTGGTAGCAGATATATGGAAGAGTATTGGTGCCACCGCATAAAATGTTTTTGAATAATCACTTTTCTTTCCCCAAAGAATTCTGACTTTAATCTTAGAAGTATGGGTACCTGTAAGGATCCAAGTTCAGTGAGTGAGAGCGTCAGAATTCTGAATTTAAAGTCAGAATTTAAAAAAAATGTTATGCAGTGGCCCCAATACTCTTCTGTACAGTAACGTCTGTGTTTGTTAGAATTGTTTTTATGTTTAGTCGTTTTTGTACCAATTCCAACCTTACAAGTATTCAGGTGTTAATCTGTTATTGTATTCTTATCAGTCTGGAACAACAGTAGAGCTCTGTATTAAAGCAGAATAGTGGAGGGAAGCACAGAAATAACTTAACCTAACTTTGTGGCTGCAGACATCCTGTGAAAGCAAAGGTAGTTTTTTATTCTTTCCTTTTTATACTCCGATGAAAAGCAGATGACATTTTTAATTCAGTACAGAAACTACAGCAAACCCAAAGATTTCAAACTTTTTGGAGGTGCCCTTTTCTGAATAAAGTGGGGACATGGGCAGCTGTTCAGACATCTGGAACCAGACTAAAGACGTAGTGAATCCCACTTCCCTTATTTTATCATTCCTCGTTTAACCCGGATATCGTTCTCATCTGCCATGATGGATGTCCCAAAGCTCTTACTTCTGCACTGAGGAGCAAGGAGGCTGCCTGATAACTGAGGATACACGAGTGCATCTTTCGTGGATACCCCTTAATCCGCTTCACATGAAAGACTGGAAGTCTCATGTCAGTTAACGCGTGTCTTCTTGGGTCCTGCCCTTGTATTTTTTCCTTGTATATTACATGGGTGGGACTTAGAAACAAGGAAAAGACGAGTGAGGGAAATGTGGATGCAATTAGGGGAACTGGGATTCAGCTATAGACCCATCAATGCAAATCCTTGTTCCAAGTTGTTGATTGTACCATTTCAATATCTCAAGGTGTCTCCTGGTCCGATGTCAAAGAAGTACAGCTCCTGTTCCACAATTTTCATAGATGACAGCACTGTCAGCCAGCCAAACCTCAAAAGCACAATCAAATGGTGAGAGGATTACACACATACACCCCCTTGTGGTCTTCACTTACAGGGTCCATACATAAACTTGCATTCATTTCTAGGAGGCTTCCCCCAACCTAGACTAAAGCCAACACTTGATCTAATCGTACACCCTGGCATTTTTGTAAAATTCGATGAATTAGTCATGGGGCCCAACCTCTGCTCTGCAAAACGGCGTGCGCCCGGTGTGCCGTCCACATAAGCATGTATTAAATAAACAAGGCTACACACAATGCTGTATTGTCGCATTTGACATGAGAAAATGCTTTTGCATCCTAAAGTAATGCTTCATGGATGTGTACGGAAAACAGATATTCTTAAACCTAAGTTAGGACGTTATTTCAGTGAATCTAATGAATCACAATCCATCAGGATGATCTCGCTATTTAAATGAACTGTCATTAAAGTTCAAATGTCTTGTTATACCTTAAGCTCTCACACACACACACAGTATATTATTCTCCTGTTAATTCTCTCTCACACACAGTATATTATTCTCCTGTTAAAACAGAAAAACTAAACCTAATTTTTATCTTCCCTCCATCTCTGTCTCCAGTGTCACATTAGCAATATACTACCACATCAAAAACAGGTATGTTTCCATTTTTATGTTAACATCTTCAATTTGGTCTTTATTTTTGGGACTTTATGTTGCTGAAACTGGTATGCATGTGAAGTAATAACAGATGTTTGTTCTTTAGGGACTCAGACAGGTCACTGGACATCTTTGATGAGAAGTTGCACCCCTTATCAGTGAGTATGTAGTTAGGATGTCAGTCAGACTGACGGGCAATCTCATTACCTGGCTCATATAATTCCCTCAAGCCAGTACTTTAGTCCTCTAGAGGGGCCCACCTTCGATACTGCTCATATTAGAGATCCAGTAATCAGTTGTGAAGCTCATGGCTTTAACATCATCTAACTGTGATGCAGTCTCTGAAAAGTATTTTGTGGATGGCAGGTTATACTTGGGCTCTAGTCATTTTCCACTACAGATAGTGGCTGGTCATCAAGTACATGAAGCTGTGAATGATGTCAATATCAGACCTGATACCAGTGGAAGACTGGATTGGGCCCATCTCTGTATACCATAGCCTACCCCTTGATTACACACAATCAGGATTAATGTATAATGCAAACGTTCTTTGCTGTGGACTGTTTCTTTTTGTCCTTCAGTTTTGTACTGATGTGGTTGCACATCTGTGTGAAACGTAAAGGTGTTCCAAATTAAAACTTATCTAAAGAAGTGACAGTTTCACCACTTCTCCATCGAGGCTTTTGGTGCTGCATTTGGCATTGATGGCTAAGATGAAAACACAAAGATGAACAGTAGTGGCTGGTAATGCTTCATTAATACCAAATATGATTCATTAGGAAAAAGGAGAACGTAAAGGTACGAGCACAGTCTCATTGCACAAGTTGTACTGCCAGAACTCATCGCTTAGATTTTGGAGGGCCACTACAAACTGAAGATGAGTGCAAATATCAGTGTTGGTGACATCACAAAGGTCTTTTTAAAAGGTAAAACACAGATGAAACAGGCCTTACCAGTAATGGTCTGCTTGCATCATACTTGAAGAATGTTTGGTTACCTGTTGCTGTCATTGTTTCATTTTACAATATGATCTTGGCAAATGTAAAGCCTCAGTGATGGAGAATGGACAAATTGTACAGTTGATCATGGTCCATTTATGAGTTTGATCCATTAGAGAGTTTTTGTAGAATGGAATTACCTATTTTTAAATCTGCTTTATATACAGGACATCGCAGCTATTGTGTCAGACCTACTTTTGTCCGGCTGCATCCTGTTGTTTCTGATCAGTTTCCTCCAAATATTTTGGATGGTTTAAGCAGTACAGTCAGGGGACACATGTACTCATTGGTGATAAAATCAGCCACATGTTGCAGTTCCTTCCACCTATGTCTGTTCATCCCAAACAGAGAGAGCCTGTGCCAGATGATTACTCCCGAATAGACCCAGAGCACAAACTGATCTACCGCTTTGTCCGAACACTCTTCAGCGCTGCACAGCTCACTGCAGAATGTGCCATCGTCACACTGGTAAGTGGTTGTTTTGTTTTTTTTGTGTGTGTAAGAATGAAAGAGTCTGTTAATATTCTTGTCTGTAATGGTTTTGATATTAATGGCATTGTCCTGAAATGTCACAACATTACTGTAATTTGTTAAATTGCACAGTAGTTGTGTAGGACATTGTTCATGTAATTCTGTAATGTTATAACTGGCCACCAGAGGGCAGTCAGGTCATACCCCAAATGACACGAACACAAGATGAGTGTGTCTGTATGATGGTCAGAGTAGGGCTGGGCAGTACCATCTAAAATATTATCACTTCTTTTTTCATATATATAGTTATTGATGTACACATTTAATGTATTAATGAGGAAGGAAGTGCATTCAACATGTTTTAATCAATGTAATATTGTCAAAAACACTTTATGCAAATATGCTATTAAACCTCACACAAAAGCACAAAAGCTCTTTTTCTTTAGTCAGTGTCTGTCCTTTTTACCAGCTGAGGTTCAGGTGCCAAAATGCATTACAAAATGAAGCCAATTACCAAAATGTTGTAGTTTTTGCAGTTGTAGCATTTGGTTTGATTTGTTTTGTATTTAAAGATTAAGACAAAGAAATATATAACTGGCATAATTCTCTGATGTGTTCCCCATTACAAGAAAAGCACAGTTCTACTAGGTATAACTGAGTGCATTATGTAAGCACTAAGCAGGAGAACATAAAGCATGAACTTTGCTCCAACCCAGCATTAACCCAACTGTTGTTCCTGGTAGTTGATAGGGAACTAATCAGGGAATTATTGAGCACTCAGCTGTTTAAACGTGGTCAGTTCCAACATAAAATGTTGACCTTAAAACCTTCTTGCTCAAGGTGTACTTGGAGCGCCTGCTGACCTACGCTGAGCTGGATATCTGCCCTGCCAACTGGAAGCGCATTGTTCTGGGAGCCATTTTGCTGGCCTCCAAAGTCTGGGATGATCAGGCTGTGTGGAATGTCGACTACTGCCAGATCCTTAAAGACATCACCGTGGAGGACATGTGAGTTTAATGCAAGCACACAGCTGAATAAGTTGCAGATGGAGACGAGCGCTGGTTTCAGTCACTTGATAAGGATCCATTTCTGTAGGAGGAGGCATCAATAGAAAGTTTGTCACTACAGATGCCACGTTTGGTGGTCAAATTGCATCTCGGACCTTTTTTTTTTTTTTGCTGATGACTTATGCTGTCGGTGGGATTTCCTCCTTTGGATTCGTAGCTGCCGTCAAACTGAAGCAGTATCTTCCTAAGTGTCTTGGGCTCTGTTAAGGGTATGGGATCACAGATAAAAGAACCCTAAATTAGTTCTTCTTATGCAGGGTGTCTGGCTAACCCTTAGAGGAAGTCCAAGCTAAAACGGTACTCCCTCATGTTGAAGGGGAATCATCTGAGGTTGTTTGGTGTCTCATGAGTAGGTCTGCAGGAATGGACATACAGTATTCTAGATGTGTCTACGTGGAGGGAAACTCCCAAGAAGTGCTGATTATGTAGTAGGATTGTAGTTATTTAATGGCAGTCGGGTAAGCTTCTTAATGCTGCAAAATAAAAATCGGTCTTGAATAGCTGTTTCCTGAGTTGTGGCTGGAATTTCAAATTCATCTCTAAATTATGTTGCTGTCAGTATTCGGTGTTCGGGGAGACTGTGCTTCAGCGGGTAGAGCGGTCGTCGCCCAACCAGAAGGTTCGAATCACGGTGCCTGCAGTCCACATGTTGTCTTGCCCAAGGACATGACACTGAACTCCCAAATTGCCCCCGATGGTTAGAGCCATTGGTGTGAGTTGGCACCGCAGATGGCTGCCTCGGTTCTGTACTGGAAACAAATTCCTTGTGTGTGTAACATGCTTGGCCAAATAAAGGTGGTTATTATTATTAGTCATCTTCGTCTTCGCTCCAGATGCATCAGATAAATGGAGCTCACATATCTGAAGTATCACTTATCATTCGGTAAGAGAATGAGAACAACAAAGATGCACTTTGCAGACAGAAGAGAAGTGCTGGGGTAGAGGGAATCTGTAGCATCCCTGCTGTTGCTTGGGCTATAAGCCAGTGAAGAGGCCAGGGGCTGCACTTGGAGCATCCAGGCCTTATTTCCTGCAATTGTGTGTGTGTGTGTGTGTGTGTGTGTGTGTGTGTGTGTGTGTGTGTATAAAAGAGGCTGAAAGTGCTTCTTTGTTTTTTGTGATTTGGAAAGTGTGTGCACTGCCTGCATGTGTGTCCTCTGTACGTGAGCCCCCATTCCTTTCTGATTCTCTTTCCTCTTATGTCTGACCTACACTCTCTCGGCTCTGTTTTCATTGCTGCCATTGAAGTGTCTTTGTGCGCCTGGTTGGATCAGGGTGGAGGGACAGGAAGACGAGTAGAGAGAGAAACAGATAGAAATGAAGGGGAGGGTCTCAAGTGCTCTCTCTGCTTCTACATAATGGCCCCGGCTCTCGCCCACTCCATTAGTTGCCCTGGGAGACCAGACATCACACACACACACACACACACTCATGCTCACTCTCACCACCTTTGCTGACCAACAAAGCATCCTGGATGCTGTCTCCTTGGCGACATGGTTAGGATGATGGAGGTTGTATTCTGGAAAAAGAAGAGCTGTGATACTCCAACTGTGTGTGTGTGTGTGTGTGAGAGAGAGAGATCTCTGTGGAAGGGATTCGATTCTCCACAAGCACTTTCGATGTTGAATTTGTAGTCGGTAGACATAACTGATGCATGTTTGTAATGAGATTTGCCTTCTTTCCTTCCGCTGACTTTTACAGTGAGTTTCTTTAGTAAAATCACATTTTCTTCTTTTCTCATAGCTGTGACATCTGAACACAAGCTCAGTCAGTGTCTTCTTTGGATTCATATTAATTTTATTAAGGCTCTTCTGAATCTTGATTTGATTTGTTAGTTTAACCATTTTTGTATATTTTGTTATTTTGACTATCTAGAATGGCATTTCTGGGGAAGAAAAAAGTAAAATCATGGCTGTTTGATGTCTACATATCTTTGCCTATAAATCTCGCTACCATATCCAGAGTCCTAAGGGTGGTTGTGGTGAAAAGCAGGCAGTCAGACGAGATTGTACGGTTGATGTTGCCTCACACTGCTAGTAGGTGAATTTGAACAGGCCATAATGGTCTAAATGTTTAATTAGTCTCACATTCAAATGAAGATTTCATAAAAAGTGACAGCCCTACTATTCGCCCCTTGTGTTGCTTGTCTCTTTACTGTACGTCTAGGACTGTGACTGTTCAGTTGTTTTGTTACACTGTGGAAGAGAGCTATCAACTACTGTTCTAGAGGAGAGGTGAGGTGGTTTGGAGGTGCTTTCAGTCTGGAATAACCTTCAGGCCTCTTTCCACCCTCCAGGAATGAGATGGAGCGCCACTTCCTGGAACTCCTTCAGTTTAACATCAACGTGCCAGCCAGCGTCTATGCCAAGTACTACTTTGATCTGCGGCAGCTGGCTGATGACAACAACCTCAGCTTTCCTTTGGAGCCTCTCAACAACCAGCGTGCCCAGAAACTAGAGGTGAGCCGCCACCTTCAGACCATGACATCTCTGGTCTTCCAGTTGTTGTTTTTATTATGATGCACCTGAAATATTTACCTCTCTGCTCTATAGCAAGCCCCCTGTTGTACTGCCTCTGCCGTCAGATTAGAAGCTGTGTTGGTTAAGATGGCTTCCACCTCATGTTCCCAAGTGGTACCAACTGTTTACATGCTGTTTGAGAAGGGTTCCTGACCTCCTGTTCATACAGCTCTGATTACATGATGATGTGTTTACTTTGTCCTCGAGCGCTTTTCAGTTATTGTGTTTGTCCATCCAGGCCATTTCAAGACTCTGTGAGGACAAGTACAAGGAACTGAGCCGATCAGCGATGCGGCGATCCTTCAGCGCCGACAACCTGATAGGTGTACGACGCTCCAACGCTGTGCTCTCATAGGCCAGACTGCTACCATCTGCCCTCTGATTACCAAAGCCCAGCGAACCCACAGCCCGCCCTGGACAAGTGTGGCCACCCCACAGGGTCAGCAGGCAGGATTCAACCTTGAAGTGTGACTGTATCACCTGCCCAGCGGTAATTTGTATTACAGCTGTAGAGCCGCGTGGTTGTCAAATTAAACTTGAAACTGAGGTGTTTACTTAAAACTTTATCATGCCACTATTGTTTTTACAAATCCTTAATTTATTTCTGAGTTGTCCCTCATTTGTAAGAGGACGTGTTAAATAGGAAAGAGGTGAAATATTTGAGGCTGGTTGGATTCTGTTTGTTGTTATTGCCATCAAATCCTATGAAAAGACCAAAACCAACAACGTGTTAGCCCAGCTGTGTACTTTCTAACTTCCCTAGCTGTCTGTGCTTATTATGGGTCAAACATAGAAATTCATGTTTTAAAAACATTTAATTTCCTTAAAATGGCCACTGTAGTTTTTATCAGACTTGACTCAAACAGGAGGAAATAGTGCATTTGTTGTTGGCAGTATTTTGACATAGTGCATTTGTTGTTGGCAGTATTTTTATCAGTATATTAATACGTTTATTGTTCTAGTGAGTATTTCTGGTAGCAGAACAGTGTAAGTAGGGCTGATGCAAATTAAATTGCATTGTGTTGATGCTAATGTGTCACCTGCTGCATTGAGTTGTCACTGATGTGTTTAACAGTTTTTGGATGATAGTGGACCACAGGCTGCACACACAGTGCATGGTAGATGCACCTATACCAGTATCGGACCAATACCACCCTCTAGTACTCGTGTCCGATACGAAGCACCGATGCCACTTGATTGCAACATTACGTTCCTTCATGCTGTTCGAGCAGATCGGTAGTGAGGGAGAAGAAATCTCAGAAGTTCTGGGATATTTTAAGACAAGTGAGAACAAAGAAAGTAAAGCTGACTGCGCTCTGTGCCAGTCAAGGGACACTGAGGGACACACCCAGCAGACTAGAGATGAGGTTGTGTACTCCAGACGACAACAGTTTGCCAGTGATGGAGCGTGTTCAAACAGTTTGACAAACGTCTGTCAAAAAGGCAGAACACAGGTCTTGACTCTCCCTGCAGTCAAGTCGCCTGGTTGCTGTTCTAAACCCATATGATGCTCACTATGCCAAGTCTAGTGAGCTGTTGTAACAGAGAAGTAAACAGACAATTAGAGAAAATGAGTTGAGTTCTTGTGGAGTTGCACTGAGCAGCTCCTCTACTGCAGTTTTTCTAAAGCAGAGGAGAGGATGATGCCACAGATGGCAGCCAGTTTAACCTTAGAGCATGTACCCTTCCTACTTAGTATTTTAAACAGCTGACTGTGACATCCTCCTAAACACCGGCGGTGGTGGCGGTCAAATAAATTTGATCCTAAAAGTGGTTGAGAACCACTGTATTACTATGTGTTGTGTAGTACTGGAATTCAGTCAGACATGTAACTGGAGAGGTGGCAGTGCCGTGGCAGTTTACACACAATCTGCACAGCCTCCTGTTGTATAATTATGTAATCATAATTAGAATGGAAATCTCATGAAAATAAAACTGTCTCTAAAGTCACTGCACTTTTATGGTCATTGTAATTTTTATAGTAGAAACACTGCATAATTATTAAGTACTTGCATTGGTACTCTAACAGCAAATCCTCAATGTAAGTACTCAGGCTGTCTTTAAAAGCAGTCTTGGTGTGTCCCTGCTTGTTAGTTGGATCAATTTATTGGATTTGATGACAATAAAATAGACCTTCAGCCCTCTCTTTTTAATAGGCACCATGTATACGACATTTTCTTTCTTGTAAATTAGAATCAATACCAAAATGTACCTTGATTAGTGTAACTCAAACTTCTATACTGTTTGTTCGAGTGGTGTTACCCATCTGGACTGAGCATGCCTCACATGACAACATGTTAAACTGTGCATGTTCTACAGGAGTTGGCTGAAGTAAGTAACCTTCAGTCAGCTGGTGTCGGGAGTGCCAGGCTGGGATCACTTTCACGTCTGTACAGGTTCTCTAATGGGACTGATTTTTACAGACTCGGGATCAGTACTGCTACATAGTTGCTCATTAAGGTCAGTTAGGCTGATGTGATGACATTATATAGGTCCATACTGTTCACCCTCGAATCCTGAATCCTGACCCTCCCTCAAAGAGCTCATCATCTAATTACCAAGTCTGTGCTTGACCCCAGCCTCAACCGGAGCTTTGGAAAAAAAAAAAAAAAACAACAACTACATAGATATGGAGGGAAAACAAAAAGACTGATGGATACTGTCCTCCTTTGTGCTTACTATGTAGGCTACTAGCTGTGAAACCTTTGTTTTAATTGAAAAACATTTGCAGATGGAGTATTTTAAATAAACACTAATCATGTAATAATTCCAAATTGTGCCATGTGTATGATCTGTGACCTCCAAGGTTGTTTTTTTTTTTGTTTTTTTAACCAGTTTACAACGTCCCCCAGTTTTCAAATTTAACATGAACATTTTAGGGAAAACGGCTGAAACACTATTTCAACCTGATGAACCCATTATCGTTGGAGTGGCAATTTTACAGGCTTTCCTCTTTTAGCTGAATTGATTGAGACTGGATGCGACAGTTTGGGAGAGACAGTTTGCCGGATGAGCTGTAAGTATCTATGTCAAACTATTTTGGTTCTTACACTTGCAGGTAACTTTTTTTGTGTCTCAGATATACGGTATGGTGCTGTGCTGTTGAAGTGAGCACAAGTGACTACAAAATCTTCTTAATTTTCTATGTGTGTATATGTATATACAGTCAGGGAAAAAATTATTTGAACCCCAGCTGATTTGGTAAGTTTGTCCACTAACAAAGAAATGATCAGTCTACAATGTCAATGGTAGGTTTATTTGAACAGTGAGAGACACAACAATAACAAAAAATGCATTACAAAAAAGTTATACAGTAATTAGCATTTTCATGAATGAAATAAGTATTTGATCCCCTATCAGTCAGCAAGATCTCTGGCTCCCAGGTGTATTTTATACAGGTAACGAGCTGACATTGGGAGCCCTCTCAGCTCGTTACCTGTATAAAAGAGACCTGTCCACAGAAGCAATCAATCAATCAATCCAGATTCCAAACTCTTCACCATGGCCAAGACCAAAGAGCTTTCCAAGGATGTCAGGGACAAGATTGTGGACCTACACAAGGCTGGAATGGGCTACAAGACCATCGCCAAGCAGCTGGGTGAGAAGCTGACAACAGTTGGCGCGATTATTCGCAAATGGAAGAAACATAAATTAACTGCCAATCTCCCTCAGTCTGGAGCTCCTTGCAAGATCTCACCTCGTGGAGTTTCAATGATAATGAGAACGGTGAGGAAATCAGCCCAGAACTACTCGGGAGGAACTTGT